ATCATTGGATGATGAAAACTCCATCTGCCATGTCGAACCCCATCTGCTTGAACGTAGAAAATCGACATTAATTTTTTCAACACAAACATTTGCGGTGTCCTTAGAGTATGAGTAAACACACTTGAGGTCATCGGCATAAGTAAAAGTTTGCGAATTTCCGAGTTCAGTCGAAATATCATTGATGTACAGAAGGAAGAGTAGCGGACCCAGGACCGTGCCCTGAAGTACGCCACTCGTGATTGAGTGGGGTGCCGAGTAGCTATTACCGACCATGACTTTCTGATATCGGTTGGACAGATAGGACCTGATGAAGTCGAGTAGAGGCGGCCGGATGCCGAGAGCTTTCAATTTTGCTAAAAGACGTCTATGGGGCACCTTTTCAAAGGCTTTGCTAAGATCAAAGTAAATAACTACCACTGACTGCCGCACATTACGAAGAGAAGTGATAAGATTAAGAAAAGCCACGTGACATGTTTCGCAGGATCGTTCAGGTAAAAATCCATGCTGACTAGAGCTCAGAAGCCGATTAGCTAGACAGAAGTCAAGAATTTAAATGAAGTTCATACTGAAACTACTCGGAGGTTTGCTGACCTCGAAGTCTTTAGATAACCTAGGATCTACAATACTTAAGCCCTTTGTTTTCAGAGACTTTTGTAATGAGGCGATTTGGCTGCGTAATCATTTGAATTGCGCCGATACACACTTTTGTTTGGCTCAGTTCCTCATCGCATTTTGACTTGGAATGGAGTATTTCCGAGATGCGAAGAGTAATTTTGCACGCTTAATGTCGGTACGATGTGGAGGGCAGAAACTGCAAGATGGTAGCTAAGTCAATATAGTTCAGGTCGACGTGCAGCGTAATACTGTTGAGCACCATTTGATACCTTTTTGTCTGTTCATTGCCCAAGGTTTTTAAGGGGAGCAGTGTCTGCGCAGCGCATTATCATGAAAAACTTCAGAAATTTTGATGAAGACCACTTCGCCGCAATCTACGAGGCATTTACGGTGTCTCATTTAAACGGTTTGATTAGAACCACATTGCGAAATGGGTCATTCTACTAATTTATGTTTGATAGAATTAGGATAACTTCTAATGTGGCGTCAAGGAGGTCGTATCTCTGAGAGCTTGAGAACACATGAAAAAACCCTTCTTCCTTTGAATCTATTTCTAAACTGCTTCCGAAAACCTTCCGCCTTCTTTACCCAAACTTTCCCTAACACAGTTTAAATACACCTAAATTGCCTGGTTTTCATACCTTTTTCGCGACAGCTATGACTTAAAAATTTCATGTCAAGCCTGTAAGGTTTATTCTGTCTGGGGAGACTCGATTTTTCGCTGTAAGTCGGGTAAGGCTTTTTGCAGATATATTTCAAAATATATTGGAAACAAATTGGCAGCATGTGGTCTTTGTTCACTAGACCGCTGGTTTGAGTTCGGCAGGCGTCTATAAAGGTTATCTAAATCAAGTGTGTACTGGAAAACTGAATATCCGGCATGCACCCCACATACCATCCTCCACGAAATATGTTAGACTAGGTGACAGCCGATTTAGCTACATGCACATTTCAGACGAAGAAGGGGTGATCACTGGAACATCTTGTTTGCTTCTACATGCACAGCATTGAATAAGTGATTCGAATTCACTCAGAAACGGAGGCATATTAAGAAAAGAAGGCTTGCTGGTTAGTAAAGGCCCCCATATATTTTTTTCCACATCTTTAACTTGTTTGATGCATTTAAATATTTGTGCGTCATCGCTTCAAACCTTAGGCAGATGTATAGTAATACCGAAATTTTGGTATGTTGCTACTACCAATGTGGTACCTTCCTATGTTTTTGCTCTGCTCCGTTTACATCTTCGGCTACACAAATAAATTTAGGTTGTACTGTTTTACTGAGAAACCCTACTTTTGCCCATATTCTCCTAAATGTCAAAGTGCTTAATTTGAATTACAATACCGACGGGCTCACATAGACGCTATTCTGCTATTTTAAAATTTACCGGCATGAACTTGAACATGGAACCTTGAAGTTTCCTCCCTTTGTCAATTTAGAGCAAGCCTTCAGCATTCACAGCGACGTACTCCTTCGACAGTTTCTTGTCGACATCTTTGTTTTAATTTACTAGGCTGCTTGCCGTTAAAACGAGTCGCAGCCGTCTCATTTTTCTGGGCAATTAATTTGTTCAAAGATTGTAAGAAATAAATGAGTTTTTCGTTATAATTGTTCTGTGTATATACTTATGATGGTGGGAAAAAGTTATCAGACTGCAGGGACTTGTTCATAATTTAAACCTATGGAGGTTTTCGATTATTTAAATGTTTGTTTGGTCGGACGCTGACTTTTACCTCTAATCATTTTTTAATCGCTGACTAGCATCTGAAACTTCACTCTGCTTGACATTTTCATCGTCAAAATATTGCCCTTTTTCCTGATAGACATGTTGCGTTCCAATTTATTAGATTTGTCGCGTCAACATTTAATTAGTTAGTTACTCGAGTAACTAACTAATCTACTCGATATAGTTTGCTACTAGGGATAATTGTTTCGTCCTTCGTCCCCCAAACTAATTTTCCTCCGCTCCTAAGGGTTCTAAGAATGAATCCTCACAGCTTTATTCCAGATGATAATCGAGGACTTTGGGAATAAGTGTTTGGGAGTTTTCCGTAAATCGCAGTTTGCAGTGTTTTCCGTTCGTTTGGATCAAATGCGCTGGTTATGAGACCTTAGCTTAATCAAAGAGGTTTTCCCACGAATGAAGGGGTTAACCGATTTCATTTTCAAACTTAGTCCCTTTTCTCTTACATGGCATCGTCACATGTCCTATATTTTCTTGTCGTCTCAATACTTTTTACTGGTTATTTTAGGCTCTGTCTACCTCGAAATTGACTCAGACTATGATGTCGTGGGTCCGTTGTCATGCTTCCAATCGCATAACATTTCTCGCCACTTTAACATGGTTTAAGCCCCGCCTTCTGCCGAATGGATAGGTTTGGATGAAGTTGACCACAGAGACACTGCAGCACATTACCACTAATTTGACGTTATTCCTGGTGGACTTTATAATTAATGGTTAGATATTTTGAGTGGTCTTTGGATCTTCGCAGTCTATTTCCCAATCAGTTGAGTGGGTACAGGCTATCAATCAAAGTCTTTTCCCTCCCTCCTTAGTTCATTTTCCTTCCATTGAGGATTGTCCAACAACTTCAGATTACTCTGTTTCGTAAACATCAACTCCTAAGTAGCCCTTACACGTTCATGTTATTTTTCCTTAGAGATAAAAAATGAAAGTTCCTTCATATAAATCTTAGGAGAAGATGTAGTGAAGTCAGTCAACAACCCACAATATTTCCTGCACAGGCATTTCAAAGAACATTCAGCATTCTGCTCTTGAGGTCCATACCCCAGCTTTCTTATACCTTATCTGAGCATGATCACACCCGATATAGCTGGGCTCAATGATATCACGATAACAAATCTCCGTTCGCTACAATGGGCAGCAAAGCTATAAAGTGTGACCGGAGGCCTAAGAACCACCCGATTTATTTACATACTGTGCCGACCTGTGTTTCGAAGGGGCCACCTCTCCACGCCCGGTTACGAAATGGGGCAGGATTTAGGGCAACACAAAAATCATGGGACAAACCATATTAAACATGCTCAAATCACTTCAGTCGCTTTTTACGAGTAACCTAAGAAGTCCTCACAGTGTTTTGACAGTGAATTCAGACCTTCTCCTTCGAGTGGAAGTCGGATTACGTCACGAGCACATCGCCCAGCATTTTCAACCTTAAAAGGGGACTAGCCGGACAGAAATCCGGCGCACGCAGATATTGTTAGCGATTGGAATATCACAACGAGTCCAGAAACAGTTTCGGTTGTTTGCAAAAATCCAGCAAACCACATCGACTCATGCCTGTGGTCCATACCTTTTTCGTTTGCACAACTTGACTCCATGGCATAAAAGTCATCCACTTGTGTTTTCAAGTTGACAGTAATTAATCTCTTGTGTCTTAGTTAGTCTTGCAACCGATAGTGGGATCGACTTTGAAATAGTGTCGACGAGACTTTTGCCTAAGGTCTGTTCTATACAAGCCGCTACTTGGTCCAGTATATTTTATTGTTTTCTCTGGTCCATTTTTCAGCTTTGGCGAATGGACTCTTAGTTATTTGCCATGATTCAATCTGCTCGTGCTATTAGCTGCATAGTTCTTGAGCTGGTCGGGCTATGACGACTCAGTTAGGCAAACCCGAGAGCTATTTTATTGCCTTGTGAATTTATGGCTTTAATGATGACCACTTGTTACTCCGCTTTCCTTCAAATTGGACTACAAATCTAAGTTAAATTTGTTTTTGGGCCACGGCTGTGTTTGGGTGTTGCAATTGTACAACCTCAGAACATTTTGCACGGAGCATTATAGATCCGAATGATAAGTGAACTTTCAAGAGCATGATCTGCGCGCCAAGCGTTGCCGCACCGTGAAACGAACCCAAAATGACTCAGTCCGGCTACCTCAGTCTCTGACAGCAACAAACACTTGGAGCTGCAAACGGAAAGTAGCTTTGCCCGGCTAGTCGTCAGCATATATTGGGTCTTAGGCGAAAACGATGGAGAGGTTGATAAAACGCCCTTTCGATCGTGCCAGCACTTGCTAGTCGTCGACTGGTTTCAATGCTAGCCATGCTTGCTTTTCCCTTGCTAAGCGAGTGCCTATCAGACGAGTCACTGGGCCCACCCTGATTGTGAGGACAGGAATTCGCTGTCCGCGTTGTATTGATTTTATCGTGCGTTATTTGAAGTTCGGTATCAGGGTGGAGGAATTTTCGTATATTCCAGCTTCCCGTACCGAGGGACCGTTCGCAGTTATGTCGTTAACCGGGTGCCATGTGAATGACAGACCTTGGCGAATACTCTCAACTTTACTGACAACTTTGTTTTGCTGTTTAAGGAATTTTGAATCCGCAAGTCTGTCCAACGGACTCTACGCTGCGTCCCACAATGGAAAGCTTCAGCCTCTGCTCTTTTATCCATCCCTACTTGTCTTCTGGTGAACCCATTGCCTTCATGCCTCACCACAGTCCTCGCTGGCCGGAGATAAAGGCCGTCCTGTCTAGAATCGCCGCGACCTGTCGTAACATCTTTCATCTTGTCTCTCTGTTCGATTACCTGGAACATCTGGTGAACCTTGGTCCTCCCTCAACTGCGCTGCTGCAGTTGATCCCCTCAAGAGAGACATTTATTGGCCTTGGGAACTACCTATTCTACCACACCGCGGAGGAACAGAGGAATTTTTTCTTCTCCAGTCTTTTGCCAAAGATCCTAAACTATGCAATCGAAATCGAAAATGTTTTCCTCACCACACCCCTTGCGTACTCCAGGGCCTATGAAGGTATGCACTGTCTTTGCTCACGAATGTCACATTCAGAATTTACCGTATCAATACCCAGGTCGCATGTGGCCAGTTTGATCGCCTGTTCCTTCCTATGCCTTTATCCGAACGCGGAACGGCAGAACTGCCTCTTCAGTGATGTCAACTTCACCTACTTCTTTCACGGGATCACTTCTGAGTTTGCCTTCTATTCTTCTCCTAACTGTCTACTCTAGGTCAACTGCGCAGGTTGCTAAACTGCAAGCCATTTTGCAGTACTTTGCGTGTCTCTCCGAGCCGGAAGGAATGCCCTCTCAACCATCGTCCGCCTTCCGAATAATGCGCCGATCTCTCCGACTGAAGACTTTCAACAACGGCAACCAAGCCTCTGTGGGTGAGGCGCAGTCTTTGCTCCCGTTCTACGGCAGGCAATTTGTAGATGCCCTCAGAGGAACTCGTTTACCATTGGCTCTAGTTGAAAATACCTGTGACAAAGAGACTGTATCGGAAATGTTCGATTTGCCTATCGTGAGTACTATTTTAAGTCAATGCCCTGCCTCTCTTGGTCATTTGAATATGTTGATCCTGAGATCCGCTGCCAAGGGTTTCACGATGTGCGCACTTTATTTCTCAGCGTTGAAGTAGATTGTCCGGGACAGTAACAGAATCAATTACTTGAGGTGTATGGCACAGACCTACTGCTTACTTCTACTTCGACTGATCGCTCGGACACGAGAATATGGATCCTCCCTCATTCCTCACCTTCCCACTTTCCTAGTAATACGATTAGCCTCACACTAAATTCCTAATTCCAACTATAACCGTAACTCTAACCGCCCTTGAATTTAGGATAAGGCCATCTGTAATACGGAGGGTCCATATTCCAATGCCCAACCGAGTGATCTTCCAAAATTATGTTTTAACAGAAATTGAGTTCTAGAAAAGACATCTTGTCATGTGCACGAAGTTAAAGTGGACGCTGGGTGGTGGACCTTTTTACTGTTACCCATGGAATATTTGTGCATCCTTGGAAATCACGGGTGCGTTAAAGCGAAGGATTACCTGCCTTTTATTGGGACAAGATTACACAGATTTACAAACGATAATTTTCATGGAAGAAAAAGGTTGTTTTTTGATAAAAGGTGCTTATTCTCAGTTTGCCTCACGCGACTTACGCGGATCAAAAAAAAATAAATTTTCAAGTTGGTGACAGTAGTTTTAACAAACCTGTTCTGTTTACACGCACGCTAACGTGCATGTGTGGTCTGCGCCCGTTTGTAATATTGGAACCTTGATTATTAGCTTCATATATGCGTGTTTATATGTCGCGCCAGCCGACCTAGTCCTCTGTTCATTTCTTCTGACGACCGGTCGGTGTCGCCGACCTGGAAATTTACGCGTACAACTCGATTTTCCGAAGAGCCTTCTCTTTTTCATACATACATATATATATGGATATAGGTAAAAATGCTGACGCCAGGTGTTAATATGGAAGAGGAGGATGAGGCGATCTCTGGGGAAGAAGGTTTATGCATCTGACGTTTCGTGTTCATACTCGAGCACATCTTCGGAGATCTCCGAAGATGTGCTCGAGTATATATATATATATATATATATATATATAGGCAGAATAGTATTACCGACAAAGACAAGGGAGACTGGAATGGCCATTTCTGGCTTATTAGCCGTCGTCAGCCAGCCATACCCAAGCCCGAAGTGTGGAACACCCGAGCCTCGAACTCGCGACCTGTTGGTTTAGAAGTCAACGCCTCTACTCACCGGGCCACGAGCCCGTTGCCTTGTCGGTTTTCGATCGGGAATATACAATGTTAGGGGGCGCTCACCGATCGTTCATACGGAACTCACTCGTTCCGTTGTGCCTTATGGACTCTCTCTCGAGCCCAACCAGCAGCCGCACAGCGGCGCATGATATATAGGCAGAATAGTATTACCGACAAAGACAAGGGAGACTGGAATGGCCATTTCTGGCTTATTAGCCGTCGTCAGCCAGCCATACCCAAGCCCGAAGTGTGGAACACCCGAGCCTCGAACTCGCGACCTGTTGGTTTAGAAGTCAACGCCTCTACTCACCGGGCCACGAGCCCGTTGCCTTGTCGGTTTTCGATCGGGAATATACNCGCCCATTCCTGATTGATAAATACCCGATCTGCAGCGACAGAGAATGACAGGTGGCGAGGCACTGATGAACTTCGGTTCGATGAAGTGCTTATGACCCATCTGGTAGGCCTCAGTGGTGGACCGACTGCGCCAGGTGCGTCTGTGCGCATGTTTGTGTTTCTGGTCTCAGCTGCTGGTGGTGGTCAGGGTTATGATTGGCTGAATGAAGGCAGAATAAGCCCGAAACAGTGCTGTATCAATCTACCCGCATTCTCTGTCGTCCCTCCTCGCTGCTATATATATATATATATATATATATATATATGTATCCCGAATGATAGAGAACACACGCGGCCCAGGTAATTGAGTAGAGGAAGACGGGAAGGCGATCGCTGGGACCAATTGTTTATTTATCTGACTTTTCGAACTCTCGCGCGAGCCCATCGTCAAGGAATGAAAAAACTGTACAACTCGTCGTATATTTAGCTCACCTCTGCCGGATGTGACCTCTAGCCGCGCTGCTGATTTGTTCACGCAGTGCTTGATAGGCGATTGGCAGATCGATATGTCAATTAATCGAGTCCTCGGTTGACTGTCACTCTTCCTGCAGCTGAAGAGCAACTCGGTCGTCCGACTGGCCCAATATTCTCACGCATTGAAAGTCGAAGCCGTGTCCTGGCGAGGAGGCGTGGGCGGCTACCAAGGAGAGTTTACCCTTCCGTCTCACAGCCACCTCGTGTTCGTACAATCTCGTGCGTACCTGTTTGCCGGTTTCACCAACATAATTGGCTTGACCACAACTGCAGTCCGGTTTTGGTTGCCCCTTCGGTTTCCTTGCCCGGGTTTCTCGCCTGCACTTTTCGACAAAATTCCCATGGTAGCCGTTCGCTGTGAAGCGTTTCCGCAGGAACTGGACCTCAGCCTTCTTGTCGGCTGGCTCAGTCAATGGGTTTCTACATGCCGGTAGAGTGTTCTCACACAGCTGCGTTTGTGCGAAAGGCGGTGGTTGCTAAGAGGTATTCGTCGAAGTGATGGTTTCTTTCGACGTGATATCACTTTCCACCTGTTTAACGGTCGTTACCGATCATCAGTACGTCAAAGGCCCTAACAAATGAGGTATACAAGCATGTCACTGTTGTGGCTTCCCGATCTACAAAGACAGAGAATGACAGGTGGCGACGCACTGATGAACTTCGGTTCGATGAAGTGCCTATGTCCCATCTGGTAGACCCCACTGGTGGCCCAACTGCGCCAGGTTCGTCTGTGCGCATGTTTGCGTTTCTAGTCCCAGCTGCTGGTCAGGGTTATGATTGACTGAATGAAGGCAGAATAAGCCCGAAACAGTACTGTATCAATCTACCCGCATTCTCGTCGTCCCTCCTCGCTGCTAGTATGACTTGGTCGACTTCAGCCAAGTAATTGTTTGACTGTTCGTGACCTTTTCCACCCATACGGAGCTTGTTTGCTTCGTGAAGCCAACAGATCGGTGTCGCCCATTCCTGATTGAATATATGTATATATATATATATATATATATATATATATATATATATCCATGTGAGTTATAGTAGAGGGCGCTCACTAACCACGTTAGGGACTTGCTCGTCCCAATGATTGGAGCGTTGGACTAATAATCATTTCAAAACTATATGGGCCCCATATGACATCTTAGTAGTGTAAAAAATGTGGGCTTTTTTCCTTTACAGAAAGTATGCAGCATGTAGTTTAGAATGCCTAGGCGCAAGTTTAATTGCATATAGAGTTCAGAATTATACGGGAATTAAAGGAGTTTTTAAACTGAATGATACAATTTCTCGAAGCATGGTGTTTGAAAAAGGCGTAATTTGCTTCAAAATGAGTACAAGTAAGAACATTTTATGCACTTTTTCTACAAAATATATTTGACTTTATAGGGGCAACGAGAATCCATATGAGACATCCGTACAACTTTAGTAGTCACTTTTTACTAAGTGTGCTTTTTGCAGGCGACCGGAAAGAACCAAGTTCAAAAATTGGTGTCCTGGCGTGACTAAAATACCCTAGGATTCTTCTGCACGATAATAAATCTTACAACTCTACCTAACTAATCTTCTTTAATTAAAAACGCATTTCGGAATTTCGGTTTACATTTCATGAGCTCGGCCAGCTGCCGTGTACATATGCATATATATTCTCTGGAGATCATGTACCAAAAACTGCATAGAGGACACTGGGGGACCCACTGAGAAGCCGAACCCATCGCAGCAGTGTCGCGCAGCGGCAGAATATCGGCTAAACGCATGTCTGGCTTTTAACTAGTATCTGTATCAGGAATGCGGTGTAGTATCTTTGCCATATGTATATAATGGTAGAGGGGCGCTCACCGATTGTTTTACGGAACTCGTTCATCCCGCTGTGCCTTATGGCTCTCTCTCGAGCCCAACCAACAGCCGTACAGCAGCACATGATATAGGCCGAATGTTATTACCGACTAAGACAAGGGTGACTGAAATGACCATTTCTGGATTATTATCTAATATGCGTGTATATTTATATATGAGGTAGTACCGACGAAGACAAGGAAGACCGAAATAGCCATTTCTGGTTGGTTAGCCTTCATCAGCTAGTCATACCCAACCCTAGGTGTTTTTACCTGGGACTCGAACCTGGGATCTTTGGTCATTGAATGTAACACTCTACCACTGAGCCACTAGCTTGTCGTCTTGTCGGTTTTGATCGAGAATATTATGTTATAGATAAGTCACCAATCAGATCTTTCCATACTCCCTCCAAAGGTACTCACTAAAGGCTCAGACACGTGTTTTGCAGGTGTTTCTGCTACTACATAATGGAGTTGCGAGAAGTCCGGCTCCTCTGTTTCCTTGCGATTCCTTGTATACGAACTCCAGGGAAATATCAGGTTTATCATTTCGGAAATTAGTAAGTGTAGGAATAATTGAACCACTTGTAGTTTTGACATATCTTATACACAGTTAGATCTCATACGTTCTTCCTGCAGATCGACTTTGTGAATTCCTACGTTGGTGGCGGTGCGCTGCGAGCCTCGGAACTCTCCTCTAAGTCGGTCTACTTCCGATACCCCGAGACCCTGGTTGCACTGGCTCTCTGCTGCCGTCTGGAGGGTCCAGAGGCCCTCTGGATCGATAACTACCTCGGTCCCTTTGGAACATCCGCGGAGGACCCTCTGGAGGGGGCAAAACCGCGCACTTTTCGGCGTCTTGTAGTCGCCAACTCCACTCGCTTCCCTGTCTGGGCCTCTGAACTGCAGTACTCTGAGGCCGGTATTATTGATGACATTGTTAAAACAACGGCTGGCCTCTTCCAGGTCGACTTGAATGATGAAGAAATTGCCGTATGTTACGAAGTCCCTGCTGTTTGCCTTCAAAGTTTATGTCTGATTTGGTTTCTCTATAGATGCAGAGTTTCGACTTAAACGCTGGATTTGGTTGCACGGACGAAACATCCGATCTAGAGTAGGAGGGGAGCTTCTAGACTGCCTGTTTAACGCTCACGTGACGCTATTTACAATCGGCGTTGTTTTCGTTGCTGCAGACAGTTGTAATTTTTATTGTGGGAATGCGTTCAGTGATTTGGTTGCGGGATGAGTACAGTGAGTTACCGATCTCATGAAATGTTGGCTGCAATCCTGAAATTCGTTTTCGATTAGGAAGCCGGTTGTAATACTGATTGCCCTGCGGCATAATCGTATAATATTTCGGAGTATGCAAAGTCGAGACTTTCCTGTAGAAGAAGTAGACGCAAGGTTTGCTTCTTGTCGTCGTTTTGGAGACAACCACTCGCATCTAGCAAACGCATTCCGACAGCAGAGAGACACGCATATTTGAGATGTCTGTTTTAACATGTGCACGCGAACTGCTCCAGGCATGTTTCAAGTTCGTATGAGGGAAATGAAACGTGTCGGCGAGTGGTCCTTTTGAGTAATTCACCAGCAGTCCACCTATCGAAGCGCATGATTCGTTCATGGGAGAGAAGAGGTCGTAGGTGGAGGAGGGGGTGCTTGAGGACCTCTCGGATTGGAAGTTAGGGTGCACGACCAGTAGATACCGAGGGTGTCGGTTCAGCTAGCGTAGAGATACCGAAAGGGCAGTTCGAAAGAGCGGGGGGGGGGCAAACGACACACGTTCGGGTCGATAGTTCCCACGACGTCAGAAGGCCTGCGATTGGCCATAGCGAAAGAAAAGCTGAGACGGGGTTCTCCTATGCACACACACACACACACACAGAGAGCTGGGTTCTAAGAATCGAGACCACGCATTCTGGCGACCACAGTACTTATAACCATCCGATCAGAGATCCCACTATTGTGTACGCAGGCAGGAGCAGAGCCTGGAGGTACCGCGCCGGCTTGAAGGTTTGGAAGTGTTAGGGTTCAGAGAAATGGCGGGAACCAATTATTCTGATGATGAGCGGACCCAGTAAAAATACTCGGAGACTACAACTTGCTTTTTGTCGGCACTCCCCCTGCATGATTAGTGATCGCTATGTGACTGCCTACGACGGACCTAGATTAGGCCACATGGCACATCGGGACGAGCACAGTGAGTGACCGATCTTATGAAATGTTGGCTGCAATCCTGAAATTCGTTTTCTATTAGGAAGAAGTACTTAGACGCGGTTGTAATACTGATTGTCCTGCGACATAATCCTATAATATTTCGGACTCGGCAGGAGGTCGACTTTTGAATGCACTGCTTTTCAAACTCCTGTAGGAACCATACTTGATAGCATGCATTTCCCCGTTAATTTTCGAGGGTCTTGCAAATTGAAATATATTTTAGAGAAAGCACGAACAAAAATATACATTCTTTCAGTCGTTAGATAGAGAATTACGTCTTCTTTATATCTTATACTCAAAGAAGGGGTATAATTAGGTTTTAAAAAAGTTTTCTTGTTTCCGAATAATTTGTAACCTGATCAGTCGTTGCGCCAGCGCTTAGTGATTTCAGTCTACAAGGTGCATGCGTTCCGCGTAAAGAAAATCTCATATCCGTTTATGCCTTTAAAAAGATGTCATATAGAGTCCATAAAATTTTGCAATGGATGCGGACTAAGTTGTACATTTCATGAGGAGCAGTGGTAAATGGACAGGTACGATGCTATATGAATGGGCATTGCGCGGTCTTAAAAATCTCATAATTAGAAACTTTTTAAAAACCTTATTATACTCCTTTTTTGAGTATAAAAGATAAAGAAGACGCAATTATCTGAAAGTAAGTATATTTTTGTTCGTGCTTTCTCTAAGATATATTTGAATTTGCAAGACCATCGAAAATCAATGGGAAATGCATGCTTCTTAAGTAGTCATTTTTTACCAAGTATGGTTCCTACAGGAGTTTGAAAAGCAGTGTATTCAAAAGTTGACATGCTGCCGAGTCCGAAATATTATAGGATTATGTCGCAGGACAATCAGTATTACAACCGCGCCTAAGTAAGCCTTTTTAATCGAAAACGAATTTCAGGATTGCAGCCAACATTTCATAAGATCGGTCACTCACTGTGGCCTAATCTAGATCCGTCGTAGGCAGTCACATAGCGATCACTAATCATGAAGGGGGGAGTGCCGACAAAAAACAAGTCGTAGTCTCCGGGTATTTTTACTGGGTCCGCTCATCATCAGAATAATTGGTTCCCGCCATTTCTCTGAACCCTAACACTTCCAAACCTTCCGCGAGCATTCAAGCCGGCGCGGTACCTCCAGACTCTGGTCCTGCCTGCGTGCACAGTAGTGGGATCTCTGATCGGGTGGTTATCAGTTCTGTGGTCGCCAGAATGCGTGGTCTCGACTCTTAGAACCCAGCCTTCTGTGTGTGCATAGGAGAACCGCGTCCCAGCTTTACTTTTACCATGGCCAATCGCAGGCCTTCTGACGTCTTAAGAACTATCGACCCGAACGTGTGTCTTTTGTCCCTCCGCTCTTTCGAACTGCCCTTTCGGTATCTCTACGCTAGCTGAACCGACACCCTCGGTATCTACTGGTCGCGCACCCGAACTTCCAATCCGAGAGGTCCTCAAGCACCCCCTCCCCCGCCTACGACCTCTTCTCTCCCATAAACGAATCATGCGCTTCGAGGGGTGGACTGCTGGTGAATTACTGAAAAGGACCACTCGCCGACACGTTTCATTTCCCTTATACGAACTTGAAACATGCCTGGAGCAGTTCGTGTGCACATGTTAAAACAGACATCTCAAATATGCGTGTCCCTCTGCTGTCGGAATTCGTTTGTTACATGCGAGTGGTTGCCTCCAAAACGACGACAAGAAGCAAACCTTGCGTCTACTTCTTCTACAGGAAAGTCTCGACTTTGCATACTCGTCGAAATCCTTGTATTAGTTGCAGACTACTAGATGGTCGCCTTTTAATTAGTAGTACCTACATAAAGACGGACAGAATTTGTGGTTTATGAATTAACTTGAGGTCATATTAAGTGTCTCTCCAGTCTGTATGGCTACCCCTCCTGCAAGAAGAAATAGGGACTCCGCTTATCCCGGGGAGTCTTGCACTAATGTCAGGGGAGTGTAGAGTTAGAGCTAGGGTTGGAGTTAAATTTAGGGTTAGGGTCAGGGCACGGGAGGGTGGAGGGCGAGGTGAGGTTCCTATTCTCGTCTTATCGTTCCTCCCTTTGAGTGCGCATTTACTGATTTCAGTGGGTATTCCATGAAGTCCAGTGTTCTGAGTCGGAAGTTGCCATCCCAGTGTCCCTTGTCTCACTTAGGGTTTTTTCCGATCCACAGGCTTCTGGCCTACCTTCTCCATTCAGCTCCGAGTGGTGGCTTCAACATTCATCACAATCCCTTATAGGTACGTGTATGGATACACCAGTTCTGCTCAAAATATTCCTCTGAAATTCATGAGCTCAATTTATTTGTGCTTTCTAAAGACTGTCAAACGGGTAATTATGACGCGGTACAGAATGCATACTTTTATACAAGTGCTAGAGGGAACCTACAGTAGGTGGGCTAACTCACGAAATGTCAATCGAAATTTCGAAATGCCTTTTCGTTTCGAAAAGATTAATTAAGGAGGGTAGTAAAACTTATAATTGTACAGCATAATTCTATAACAATTCAGTTACCTCAGGATGTCGGCTTTTGAAAAAAACTTCTCTTTGACTGCATGCAAGACTTATGCACTGTAAAAAATGACTACTTACAGTACCTGTGCTAACTCATGAAATGTCACGAATTAACACAGGTTAACGCCTTTAACGCAAAATCGGCAAACACTACGGCTCCCAAAGTCTGACAGCGGAAAATAAACGATGTGCCAAAGAAATAAAGCAAAGTTTGGTTAAGAAAATATTATTTACTGAGATAAAAATAAATAATTTTCGACAAAAGTCACATTTTCGAGAAACGCCTATATTACAACCAAGTTAATAAAGGCTACGTATGAGGACGTATAAAGGAGGAGGGCGCATAAAAGGTCAAAAATAATTAAGGACAGAAACAGATACAAAAAATTAGTACTTTGTAGATTGTCCATTCGAATTAATAACAGCAGAAAGTCTGTCCGACATAGACATGACAAGGTTATCTATGGTGGATTGTAAAATGTAATTATTGAGTATGAAATCCAATTTTTCCTGCATTGAAAGAGTCTTCTTAGCTTTGTGCCAATTTCTTTTGACTATTNCATCATCCGCCGACAGTTCTTGAATGTTGCCGTCGGTGTAGTATGTTCTCTTGGGAAGTTCTTTCCACATATGACAGTTTGGAGCGACTTCGTAGGCTTGTCTAAAAATAGAACCTCATCGCAGAAGAAAATGCTCTTCCAAAATGAAGATCTGTATTCACTATAATTCTTAGCAAATAAAAGCCGTTCTCTAATTAGTTTTCTACTTAAATATGGCTTAATCATGGCCTTCCGCCGCTGCAGTTCAAATTCCTTCATCCTTTTTCTAATGATGTTCATAGAAAACATCGGCAGATGTTCCCGCTGAATGGCCTCAATGGGCATGTAATGAAACTTTTTTAATGTACGACGAATAAAATCGTCGTCTTGCTTACTTGTGGACCGTTTTGGTCCCCCTATCTTATTTCTAGGAACAGTTTTATCATTAATAATGCGCCACAGAGTGACCTTGCTAATATTGAAAATATTAGCTAACGACTCACGCGGGATTCCTTCCGCCGCTAATTTTCGAATGCGCTGGAAGTCAACTTCGGATAAGTATTGTTTAGACATAGTTATCGTTTGGCGTGGCAGAGCAAAGTGACGGCATGTCGCGCGAACTCAATATATATTCGTTTACGACACGCATTTTCAGTCTGGTAAAACAATCACACTGATAAACTTTTTTATTTCGGTATTTTGAAACATAAAACTTTACGAATTTGTAAAAAAGAATTTTTAGATAAAGAATCGCACGTTATTTCCTGAACACAATAAGAAATAATTTATCTGCATTTCCCTGATTTTGTTGATATTGAAATTTAATTTTTTCTTTTTGTTCGAAAGTTTATCAAAGAATTTCGTCCTTTTATTAATCTTCTTAAACAGATTAATAAGGTTACACAAAGAATTTCCACCCGAAAGCTTTAATAGCGTAGGAAACTGCTTGAATATCAGGAATCCTCCGATTTCGCCTTAATCCGGCCCGTTTTCTATTTAATATACAGATCCGTATCAAACTTTCCTTCAGAAAACGGTCTTTTCGTCCTTATTTCAACCAAATAAACACAAATAACGACACCAAAAATACACTACATTGTCCACTATAATTTTGACCTCGGCATTTCATGAGTTAGCACAGGTACTGTAAGTAGCATGCATTTTACCCATCGAATTTCGATGCCTTAAACAATTCAATTATATTTCATAAAAAACATGCATGAAAATATTCATTCTCTCGCCCATCCGGTCGGAAATTACGCCTTCTTCCAATTTTGTACTCTGAGAAAGTGTATAATTCGGTTTTAAAAAAGTTTCTAATTGTGAGATTCTTTAATACCTCATGTCTCTGCCTTTACCAATATGGCTTGTAAAGTTAACAGTATGGCTCAAATGCACTACTAAATTTTATGAACCCCATATAGTCTCCTCTTAATACCATAGAGAAATGTATGGTTTTTCGTACGCGGAAAATAAACGTCTTGTATTTTGAAAACCCTGAATTCAGGTGTAACGGCAGGTTGGGTTCAAAATTATTCGGGAATTGAAAAAGTTTTTGAAAACCTAATTATACCGTTCTTCTGGGTGCAAAATTGAAAGAAGACGCAATTTACTACCGAATGAGCAAAAGAATGAATATTTTTATGTACGTTTTCCATGGAATATGGTTAGAGTTTTAGAGGCATCGAAAATCAATGAGAAAAATGCATGCTACTGAAGTAGTTACTTTTTTCCGTGTACTGTTTTTGCATGCAGCCGGGAGAGAAGTTCGTTCTAAAGCCGGCACCCTGAGGTTACTGGATTATTATAGAATTATGCTGCAGGCTAATTAGTTTTACAAACCTACTTAATTAATCTTTTCAAAACGAAAACGCATTTCGAAATTCCGATTGACATTTCATGAGTTAGCCCACCTATTGTACCTCCTTGCTACCCTTTTCATCGTACGCGCTTAATGGGTTCACTCCATTAAAAGAGGTCACCTTATAATTTATAATTAAGTGCCACTTGTGGTAGAAGCAGCCTGCGTAATCTTTGCGTATTCGATTATTTTTCTTCCCCCGTCAGAACCAGATGATATCCCTCCCCTTCGGATGGAGTGCCAGTTGGTCGATGGTGCTAATCTGGCCCCCACTCGTGAGGCGCGGGCTGTCGACCGGTTTGCTCGTCTCCTCTCCAAAGCAACCCTTAAGGAGGCTTTACAGGCCTCCCGTCTGTGTCCCGTCCCCTCTTGGCCTCACCATGGTCACCGGAGTCCTCTGATGTGTACCCCCACATCATCATCACGTAGATCCCTAGGCCGCTGCCCCCAGTGCCGACAGGAGCCACCTGTTGCGGCCTCATCCGCGTCCTTCTCGTGAGTTTGTGAAGTTGTAGGTAACCTCTCTGATTTGCGACACTTCTTTATCATGTGTTCGAACTTTGCTACTAATCATTCTACAGATCTCTTACACTGTTCACCCAGGGAGTTGTTTTCACTCTGTTCCAGGTTCCAAAATCCCACAAAAAGACCAGAGCCAAACATACCCTCACGGTCGTTGAAGCCAGATGGAAGTCTTCGTGAGTCCAGCTCCGGCACTTCATTTGGAGCAGTATTAGAGGGTCTGCCGGACAAGTTCACTGAGACTGTGGGCCTTCTAGCCAGTGAAGTCATGTCTGACGTACGTGTGCCCGCGCCGAGTGGAGCCATAGCCTTTACTCCCCCCTGCCTTAATTATTTGCACTTTGTTGAACTACACATATTCGCCTACTTGTTATGTTTCAGTAACACTTTATGATCGTTTTCATAAGCCTGTGGATCCACGGGTTACATTCCTGGGCTTTCTTTTTCAGGCCATCGGCACTGTTCGTAAGCGCCTGCGGGGCATTTACGAGGTCTCAGATAACCTAACTAAGTCCCTGCTAAAGGAATGCCTCACCCCTTCTATGAACGCGCGCGATCCGACCTCGCCCAAAAACATCCCTCTAAAGCACTTGCGCCCTCTCACCGTGGACATACAGCCTCAGGTACGTGAGATTCGTTCATTCGAGGTTAGGGCTTTTTCATTGCGTGTATGAGGGATCGCTGCATCCACTGAAGTGTCTTGACAATGCAGCCCTAAAAGGCAAGCCCATTTTGAATGCTTACCGGCAACAACAAGGGAGATCGTGATATTCATTTCTGGTTTATCTACCCGTCTAAACAAAAATGCTGCACCACTTGAACCATAGGCTCACACCATGTCAATTGCGTCTTCTGCATAGCAGTAAAATTTCCAAAATGCCTATCTTTTTGTCAGCTTTAACTTAAGCTGCCTGTCCGATGACAGAGTTGACTTTGGTTGCCTATAGGCTACTGCTCCTCAACTACTAAAACAGTTCCGAGTTCTCGTAGCGTCGACCTGTCGTAGGACTCCAGGTCTATTGACTCCCATCGCACTGCGGATGTCGCACCGCTGTCTCCTAACTCGGGTAAAACGTAGATTCCCCCGTTTAGACGCTGTCACAGGGTTTGCGGATAAAATCGTCAACGTCACCGAGACTGACCTTTTCTTAATTTTCACTCAGGGGGGGAGGGGGGAAATACTGTTCCTTAGCCTCACTAATTTTCCATTCGGGAAGGTGAACTACTTTAGGCTGGTGGTGTTGGTGGCTGTGTTGATGGTGAATGCCCGTTACATCTGACCTTATGTCTTTAACGATGAGGCAACTCTTTCTAGTGGCTTTTCTAACTTTCACCTGCAATTCTCAAGACCTCAGGTCTCTGTGAGTGCGGGCGCTGCAACCATAACTTTGGCTTTTTGTCTCTGCAGACTTTGGATACCACGCAACCCCTTCCTCGGAGGCCAGCCTCGACAACTAACTTGCTGACCCCGTCGCATGCCCATACTGTAAATCCTGGCGGAATAAGGACCGCCTACAGCGAGCATTTGATCAACTTTTCCGTTAGCTTGGCCTCCCGTTGTCTCCTAAGTGCTCTTCTCCAACTCAGGCGTGATTTTATCCGTTCTCATTCCTCCTCAACGTCGGACTCGTTCTCTAAGGATCAGCCGTCAGAAGATTCTGCCGCTATGGCTGCCAAAAAGTTGTCGGAAGGTGCCCTGTGGAACAAGGTAAGTTGCTGTCGTTTACCACTGCCCCTAAAACCATTATGTCACCATCACCCGTCCGCTGCATTTACAACCTTCTCCTTCGTCACTTAACCTTCTCTGATGACAAGGGAATGTCAGGACGACTGCAGGTAGGCGGAGGCTCATTGGTTGACAAAGGTGGACTGCCATCCACGCGCGCTGCACACCCCTTGGTCTCCACTGCTAGCCATTACCCCCCCCCCCCCCCCCGTCATAATTATCCTCACTCCAACTTTTGAACTACATATATTCGCCTACTTGTTATGTTTCAGTAACATTTTATGATCGTTTTTCATACGCTTGTGGATCCACTGGTTACATTTCGAGGGCGTGTCGGACCTTGTACGAATGAGTGTCATAAAGGCCACATAAAAAGAAGCCACTTCAGTCATGGTATAACGTCCCTGATCCAATTGAGGGCGAAACCCAAGAAGAATTAGGGCAATTTATAAAAATAATGGGACGCGTATTAAATTGAACCTACTACAGTCCTCGCTAATAGCCTAATGTACATAGGTAGGGCCGCAGGAGTTCTTGCTTAACAGCAAAGTCGACAGAAAGCCGAAGCTCGAGCGTCCTATTTCGTTTCTTGGATAGCTTTCTGGCGTTTTAATGGGACCTCAGGCGTTGAAGTAGTCCAAACATTCAAATCCAGCGTTGCGATTGATCGAGAGGCATTGTGAAAAGAAAATAGAGCAAACTTGAGTCATCATCATTCCACTTAATTTGTATGTATAGCATGTTTCTTATGCTAAGTACTTTTATAATAAACCCAAATTATAACAAACAAGGTACTACGTTTTAACTCCCCAGTATGCATAGTCAAGGTTGCTTCTGCAAACACCAACCCTATAAATAGTAATAGCGACTGCGTGCGCGCCCCTGCAGGGCTAGTGGTGTATAGGTTACAGTTTATGACGTAGCATGAAGATTACATAGATGTATAAATCAGAATTTTAAAAGAAGAACAAACTCCTGTTTTTTTGAAAATATTGTGCATACTCACATCTTCCTTGGCCTGTCTGAAAAATTAAGTTTCCAAATGACATCGGTTGTTTTTGTGAATATTTTCCGTTTATGTTAACGCCTTCTACTAAGAAAAACATTAGGCATTAACGCGTACATACGGTCTGTGATGCACGGTCAGATGTGGTTATGTAGCCCCACCTGAGGTGAACAAGCCCCAGTCCATAACCCCTAACACCTAACATTGACCCGACGCTAGCCCTTAACCACGGCCCTAAACCCTAACCCAACAGTACTGTGTCCATCAGGTGGGGCTACATAACCACATCTTACCGTGTGCACATTAAAAATTGCCCGAATTCAAGGTAACGTTTATTTTCGCTCAAAACATAGCATCCGAAGCGCGAGTTATGGATGTGATGCAGACGTTGATGAAACGGCAGTGGGTGTTTGGCTTCCAAAATGGGGAGGAAGTAAGGGCTAATACCATGTCTGCCACCCTACCCACGCTCCGGCATTGTCATGGTAACTGTGGGAAGATGGGGTGGGGCGGATTTCAAGCAAGTATCCATGTGAAATTTGCCGCTGATGCTTCGGAATGCTGGTAGTTATTACACCTACTCGCGGGTAAGGATAAGAGATTGACCGCCCAGCACCAGTTGCATTCACCTCCCGCCAGTCCTTATTCGTCTGTGAATTATGCCTAATGCATTGTATTTATATATGTCACGGAGAGGGGACACCTATCAACCTTTGCCTATAGCACTCCGTATGCATACATACTAAATCGAGCGTCTTTTTCACAGACAGACAGGCCAGCACTGGCTCGAGCTGCTCAACGGCCGTCGGGCTTTGTCACCGGTCCGCTTGTCTGTGGAGTTGACCCTCAGGTGAACATTATGATCCAGTGGATTTCTGCCGCGGTCGCCTCCTCCACCCAGCGGTCCAACTCGGCCTCGCCTGCAGCCCCACCGACCTCCCAGTCTTCGCAAGACGCCGTCACCCGGCGTTCACGCTCCTATCTCTCCCCTGTGGTTTTCGCCACGCATGGCAATCCGCAGCTCCAACAGGTTGTCCTTTTATGGCCTCATTCCTGCCTCTGATTGGCCTCTCGTCTGCTTTAGTTTTGTCTCTGTACGTGTGTGCATCTGATGGCTCCCACAACGGACTGCGTTGTAGACTTATCATGGATGGAAACGGGGGCCTTACTGCATCGCGGCGTGCGTTTATCAGGCTGTGCAGGGCCAGCGCGTGCCCATAGCCACTGACTGGCTCACTGGAGAGGGAGACACTGATGCATCCCTCACTTTAAAGGAGCTGAGGCGCTTGCATCTCTCATGGTGGGCTAAGAGTGGTGGCTTTGTGGGGAGGGGGGGGGGGTTGCCATCTCATAAGATAACTCAGTCCTCCACAGGGCTGAGAGTCAAGTCGCCGTATCTCCTTGATGTGACCATTGTGCCTCCTGCGCGCTTGAAGTCCGAGCCGGCACTTCAGGAGCTAGGTATGTTTAACGGCCCAGGTCGTGTGCGTGGCACGCGTAGACCGGTCGTACAGTTTTGGTAGCCACTACCGCCGACCCCACCCCCGGTCTTCTCGGCACTGTCTTGACCTCGAAGCATGTCGAAAGAAGCGGGAGGAGTGCGATAGGTGCTGTGTAAGTCTGCCTCGCTGCAAACTAATCCACGCGCTACCCATTTGGCGGGACACGCAGTGGATGTTGTTGCTTGAGGCGGTCAAACTGTCTCGTGGTACCCGCGCGCACGTACCTGGCACGCTTTAGACAGGGGCCTCATTCCTTCTCAGTCACTGCGCTCCATCACTTTCCCACTGGGACTGGAGAGAGAGAGAGTGAGGGAGAGAAAGGTCAGTCCATCTCGGCTCCAGCCTCATTACACGCAGCCAAACGTTCCTCGAAGCTGGCACAACTGGTCGCGCCTTGGGAAACCTGGAATTCAGACTGCGATGGCTCCCTCTCAATATGACCTCTGTGATGCCCCCGAAGCTTGAAATATGTAGTTTGGTTTGTGGCACGCGTAGAAGGCCTGTTTAGGTGTGTAGTACACTGCATCCCCGCCCCCAAATTCAGCCATGTTGACCTTGTCTCCCATCAGTAGCAAGGTGGAGCGTGGTCGCCGCCGCGTAGTCTGCTTACCTGTAAACACATGCATGCTCTGATCATCACTGCGCCTCGTCTGAGGCCTGATCAGATCAGATTTATTAAGGGAAAGGTAGGCAAGCGCCTTTGAACTCCCTTTTTGCGTACGATAACGTCATAAGTGTGTAAGGCAGGTGTCAAAGAAGCTTAGGTAAGTAATTACACACAACTAGCATTGGCTACTGGTATAAATCTGTCTGTGAGTTTCTTCTTTGTCAAATCTGTACAATAACCAGTTCGCGGTGCTGAGTGGACCAAGTAATATCAAAGCAAACGTATAGGCTTCGGCCGGCGGATAACGAAAAGGCACAAGCCAATTCTACTTAAACATAGGGAGTAGCATACTTTGTAACGTAAAACGTTTGGGCGGATGGTACAGGGCGGGAATTCGCTAGTTTCTGATGCCGTGGAGGTACATATCCCTGTACTGGTCAAGCTTCCTCTTAAATGTGTCCACGGATGAAAATATGACGATGTCCATGGGCAGGGCATTCCATGCCTTTACCACTCTGTAGCTGAAGAAGGACTTCCTTGCGTCCAGTCTCGTTCCTGTCACACGTAGTTTCAGAGGATGTCCTCTCAAGCTAGTAGTGGTGGCCAGCTCAAAGAAGTCGCGGAATGCGAGGCAGCAATCCTGACCGCGTAACATTCGAGACGTTTAAATTAAGTCGCTAAGTAGTTGTCTCTAGTCTAGGCGAAAGAGGTCAAGATTGGACAGTCTAGTTTCTTCAGCCAAGATGGCTTGCGTCTTTCGCAATAGACGAACCACCGGTGCTTGCATAAGTTACTTCTTGTCGTCCGTTGTTGGGGGCACGTCTTTTCGTCCTTTCATCTTAAACCGCACCACCAGAGTAGCCGAACTCTCAATCGGATAGGCTTGTTTTTTGCTTAGCATCTGACAAGATGAACCCTCGCTCCTCATTTGTGCTTCTCCTCCCCCCCCCTTCCCCCCCAGCCCGTCATCCTCTTCACGCACTTCTACGCGCCGTTCAAAGCCCATTACAAAGTGGCCTTATCTGCTCACTCAAAAAATTATTATTTTCCACATCACGCACGGCCGCTCTTCCATATCCAGAAACCGCATGCTCTTTCAATCAGCGGCAGAAAAAGGCCCATCTGGAGGTAGCTAGACAGTTCGCCGTATGGCACGCCCCCTGTGACTGAATCGTCGGCTTTCTGTCTGTCTGCAGATCGCCTTGTCTCTGCACCCCTTGCGTAACGCGCCTGTAGGTAGGACACAGGACTATAAACTTCCTCCACCCTCCCCCCCTCCGCATCGCAGGGAGGGGCTTGCGCCAAATTCCAGGGGCGGTTGGGAGTTGTGGTTCGAGTTAGCTTATTGGCGTAGCTGCCTCCCTGGAATCTGGCGCAAAGCCACCTATAGTCCGGGGGGGGGGGGAGGGGCGCCTACCCCGGTCTCTTCCCTTAAGCCAGTTTTCTGAGAACGGTTAATCGAACCACGCTGGATCAAACGGTTCTGGACAGTTTTGGCGGCTAACTCAATTATCTGAGGTCCATCAGAAAGGTGAGACACCTATTTGTTTTTTATCGAGCCGGTTGAGCAAAAAAATTGAGAGGTTCCGAAGATGACCAGTAAGGCTAACTGATCTGCTTGGCACAAACACTAGGTCCATAACGACTTACGCCAACGAAAAGATTGTTGTAGCGTAAATGACAGTAAACTCGGACCACTCGAAAAACTCCAACTTATCGACAGGCAAAAAGTGACTACGCTCTTTCCGTCCATTTTCAACGTCATCCACCGTGCGAACCACCGCTGATTTTGCCAACAAGTTGCCCCGCTGAATGACGCTTCACCACCACCAACACCACCACCACCACCACCACCGACAGCTAGTTGGCGTACTCGCTTAGGCCCGTGCGCTGCAACAACGGACGCACGCCTTTGCGGACCAATTGGATGAAATTACGACCCTCAGACCGTCTCATTGTCGAAGTACGGATTTTCCCACTTCTTCCGTCGTTAGCCAGCCATACCAAACCCCGAGGTGTGGAGACCTGGGCCTCGATCTCGCGGCCTGTTGGTTAGAAGTCCAACGACTCTAACCTCTGAGCCACGGGTCCGTTGTCCTATCGGTTGCGATCGGGAATATACAATGGTAAAGGGGCGCTCACCGATCGTTTCTACGGGACTCACTCGTCCCGTTGTGCCTTACGGACTCTCTCTCTCTCGAGCTCAGTGGCTGGAGGCGCACATTGGCGCGTAATATGAGGAGAATAGCATTACCGACAAAGACAAAGGAGACTGGAAGTATGTGATACATGGCACTCGATCCCGCGACCTATTGGTTTAAAGTCCAACGTCCCTAGCCACTGAGCCACGGGATCGTGAAATATAATTCGTTGGTACGTGAGAACACTGTCATTTACGTTAATGCCTTAGGGCTCTCTAGGGCCCAACCAGCAGCCCCACAGCGGCGCATGATATAAGCAGTATCTTATTATCGACAAAGACCAGGGAGACTGTAATGACTATTTCTGGCTTATTAGCCGCCTTTAGCCAGTCATACCCAATCCTGAAGTGTGGAACACCTGAGGCTCGAACTCGCGACCTGTTAGTTAGATGTCCACGCCTCTAACCACTTAGCCACGGGCTCGTTGTCCCGCTGGCTGTGATCGGGAATATACAATGGTGGAGGAACGATTAATAAGCCAGAAATGGCCATTCCGATCTCCCTTGTCTTTCTTGATAATAACATTCTTCCTATATCATGCGCCGCTGTGTGCCTGCCGGTTGAACCAGAGAGAGTGCCCGTGAGACAAGTGAGCGGCATGGGTGAGTTCCGTAAAAACGATCGGTGAGCGTCCCTCCACCAACGGATTTTCCCCTTATTCACAAGTGAGTGTAGTGGTGATGCCACTATGCAGAATAAACGCTCGACGCTACATTCGATCCGTTCCTGCTTGCAAATAGTTGACCAGAATAAGTGGCCGTCCAAAGTACCTGCGACCCGGTTGTCGACTGCCTCTCACAGGCGAGTGTCCACTCCACGATGCGCACATACTGTATGTGGGCTAACTCATGAAATGTCAACTGAAATTCCGAAATGTGTTTTCGTTTCGAAAAGATAAATTAGGTAGGGTTGTATAACTAGTCAGCCTGCAACACAATTCTATAATACTTTAGTTACGTCAGGATGCTGGCTTTCGAACGAAATCCTTTCCGACTCTATCCGAAAACTATACTCTGTAGAAAATGACTGCTTGTATAGCATTCATTTTTCTCGTTGATTTTCGATGACCTTAAAAATCAATTATATTTCCTGGAAAACATGCGAAAAACATTCATTCTTTTGCTTTCTCGGTAGAAAATTGTCCCTTCTTCCAGTGTTATACTCGAAGGAAGGGTGAACTTCGGTTTCAAAAAAGCTCCTTATGGTGTGGTTTCTTAATACCGTGAAATGGCCGTTGACAAAACGTCTTCTCTGCATTTACCAATGTAGCTTGTAAAGTTACCGATATGGCTCATACCCACGGCTGAATTTTATGAACCCTGTATGGTCTTCTCTCAATACCATAGAGAAATTTATGGTTTTCCGTGCGCGGAAAATATACAGCTTGTAGTTTTGAAACCCTGAATGCAAGTGTAACGGCATGTCGGGTTCAAAATTATTCGGGAATTAGAAAAGTTTCTTTAAAAGGAATTATACTCTTCTTTAGAGCATAAAATCGGAAGAAGACGTGACTTTCTACCGAATAAGTAAAAGAATTAATATTTTGATGCATGTTTTTTATGAACTGTAATTGAATTTTTAAGGGTATCGGCAATCCATGAGAAAAATGCATGCTACTGAGGCAGTCCTTTTTTCGGACTATAGTTTTGGCATGCAGCCGAAAAGACGTTCTCTTGAAAGCCGGCACTCCGTGGTACCTGAATTATTATAGAATTTTGCTTTTGTTTCGAAAAGATTAATTAAGTAGGCTTTACAACCCTATTAAGCATTTCGAAACAAAAGCGTATTTCGGTTGGTATTTCATGAGTTAGCCCACCTACAGTAGTATTCATTTATCCATTTTTTTCAGTGGCCTTATGAACCCAAGCACACACAAAAATACCCCCTTATGCTCATTTTTAGCAAATTATGTATTTTCCGAATTTTCTCCTCGAAGAAGGAGTTTCTTTCGCTTTTAAACAAGTTTGTGCCTATGAGATTTTTAAGCCCTTAAGGTTTCTATTTACAGTAGATGTGCTGTCCTATTGAATGTTAATCGAAATTCTGGAACGTGTCTTCCATTAGGAAAGACTGCTTACGTAGCGTCATAAGACTAACTATCGCGCGGACTGATCAAAAAATATTTCGATCACGTCAGAATGTCGGCTTTTGAGCGCGCTTCGTTCCGGCCGCCTGTGAAATCTACACCTTGCAAGAAATGACTTCATAAGTAGTCTTATTTTTCCCGCTGATTTTCGATGCTCTTATACAATCCAGTATAGTTCGTAGGAAACATGCGAAAAAAGCTTTTTTTCTTGTGCTTATTTGGTGGTAAGTTACATCTTCGAATCTTATGCCTGAAGAAAGAGCACATTTCGCCTTTAAAGAAGTGTCTCATTGTGATATTTTTGAAATCGTGAAATGTCTACGCATAAAGCATCATATCCGTCCACTTATTGACGCTGCTTGTAAATCATCGACGACAGTTCGACCGTCGTTGCCGACGATGTCCACCGTGTGCTCCACAACAGGGTGAGAGCAGGGACGTTGAGTAGTGCGTGAATTAGTTTATAGTGAATGTAGGCTTGCACAGCGTCTACCGCACTCCCTCCCTCTCCCCCTTCCGCACCCAGTGTCAAGACAGAGTCAAGAAGACTGGAGGCGGGAGAGGGCGCAGGTGGATGGCACGATCGAGCCGACACATTGACGCTCCACTCCACACCCCCTGACTCACACAGCAAATGACCAGGTTTGTTTGACCGACAACAATAATGAGTAGCAGCAGGGGTCCCAATGTGAGCAGTGCTGTCCCCAAATGAGGCTAAATAGACATCGCACGCGGATACCGAGCTTTACTATTGATTAGTAGGGTAGCTGTCCGGTCCGCAAAATATGCTGAGGAGGATTTTGTGCACCAAGAAAAGAGGCGGATGGAATGGACCATAATTGGCGCGGTCTGAGTCTGCATCTGGTCGTACCGCGACTCTCCCAATTTGGGCGCTTGTAATGGGTGGGCATTTTAAATAACGCCTGCCGGACTGCGCTCTGGTCCCCCTGATGGTTCAGCGCATTTATCGGGTGGCCTGTTTTAGAGGCAAACGATAGTTCGACCGTCGATTTCCACGATGTCCACCCTGTGCTCCACAGCAAGGTGAGAGAAGGGATGGTGACTTGCGCTCGAGTGGCAGTAGACTCGCACAGCATCTACCGCACACTCTCCTCCCAGAATCCGAAATGCCTCCCCCCCACGAGTTTTTCCAGTGCATCTACCACGTGGTCCGTTTTGGGGGACATGCTTGTAAATTATACAACATGGTCTACAGTCACTGCAAAATTTTATGAGTGCTATATGACGTCTTGATAACATATAAATGTGTGATTTTCCTTGCAGGTAAGGTGTACGGCTTGTGGTTTGTGGACCTTGAAGACGGGGACTGAGAATGTTCTGTAAAACCGAAAGATGCGCTTCCCTCAAATATGAAATTTGGAAAAGACGTAATTTCGTACGAAATAAGTACAAGAATGGATATTTTCGTGCATACTTGCCATAGAATGTATCTGAATGTATAGGCACATCGAAAATCAATGAGGAGCATTCTTATTATTTGAGTAGTCATTTTTTACAAGGTTCACTTTTTTCGGACGACTGGAAAGAAGCCCGTTCGAAAGCCGGCATTCTGACGTGATCGTAATATCTCAGGATTATGTTTCGCGATAGTCAGTTTTACGATCATACGTAAGTAGTCTTTTCTAATCGAGGACACAGTTCCGAATTTTGGTTAATATCTGATTTAAGCAGCACCATACCTGTCCGTTTATTGATGCGCCTCATGAAATATGCGACGTTGTCCATATTCATTGGTAAATTTTATGATGTTTGTATGGTATCTTCTTAAAAATACATAGGAATGTATTATTTCCCCAAATGGAAAGTATCCAGTATGTGGTTTGGAAGTACCAAACTGGGGTGAAACGACAGAGCAAGTTTGTAATTATTTGAGAATTTAAAATCCTTTCAGAACTGGAAGTCACTTCTTGAGTCGGAAATTTGGAGAAGCAATTTTTCTGCAACATGGGTGTAAGATAATAAATAATAGTAATAGTAATGATAATAAGGTATCCTGATAATCAGTTTAAAAATGCATACTGCTCAAGTAGTCGTTTTGCAAATGCGGTTTTTGTAGCCGGTCGGAAGAACTTGGAATTAGACTGCGTGATGATAATTCTGCCGTCGTTGCTCGTGAGAGCAGACACGAGGACTTGTATGTGAGTTAGTTTACAGTGGTAGCAGATCTACGCAGCATCTACCACACTCTCCCCTCCTCCTTCCCCGCCTGAGCCCGGTGTCAAGACGTAGGCTCCAATTGTTAGACTTTATAATACCGTGAAATGGCCGTTCATAAATCGTCTTGTCTCTTCATTTACCAATTTAGCTTGCAAAGTTAACAATATGGATCAAATCCATTGCCAAATTTTATGAATCCCATATGGTCCCCCTTTATTACCGCAGAGAAATTTGTGGTTTTCCGTACGCGGAAAATACATGGCTTGTAGGTTAGGAACCCTGAATGCAAGTGTAACGGCAGGTCGGGTTCAAAATTATTCGGGAATTGGGAAAGTTTTACTAAACCAAATTATACCCTTCCTTTGAGTATATAATTGGATAGAGACTCCATTTTCTACCGACTGAGTAGAAGGATGAATATCCTTATGCCTGTTGTGCATGAAATATAATTGAATCTTTAAGATCATCGAAAATCATTGAAAAAATGCATGCTACTTAAGTAGCCATTTTTACGGAGTATGGTTTTTAGATACAGCCAGAAAAAGTTTGTTCGAGAGCCGGCATCCGCGGGTAATTGAATTGTTAAAGAATTATGTTGCAGGCCGGCTAGTTTTACAACCCCACTTAATCAATCTTTTCGAAACGAAAACGCATTTCGGAATTTCTGTTGATATTTTATGAGTTAGCCCATTTACTGTACGTCGCTTACACACTGACAAAAATGGATAGGCCACCGACACGTCTACATTGTATGCGCGTTGCGTCTGACATAGAGATATCTCCCGTTCCTCTTAACGTCCAGTTGCCGTCTGTTTGTAGCTGAACGCCATTGTGGACGCGATCGGCGCGGCCGGCTGGAACGCGGACCATCTACTGCGCAGCCTGTTGGAGTACTCCGAATACCGCTCACGCCTGCTCTCCGGCGGTCCGAGTTCACCGAAAATTGCCGCTGGCCACGGCGATGCACCCCCCTCAGCGCCGCCCTCCAACTCCCCCTTGCGAGTCCTGTCTTTCTTCGACTTCCTCCTCTCCCGCTTTTCCGACCACACAGCGCGTACTCTGCCCATCTAGTGGGAGTGGGGAGGGGTCGTTGTTGCCGCTGCTGTGTTACTGTGTCTCATCTTCTTCTGCATTTCCTTCATTTTGATTCCCCCCCCCCCTTTCTGCCTTGGCTGGGGGGCTTTTTGGAGAAATTTCTCTTTACTTCCTGTGACATTGTCGAATCGTGCTTTCTTTTTTCTTGGCGTTCCTCAATTATATACCACTAGTCATATTGTGAGGCTGGCTTTAAAACCGCCCGACTAGGCGGTGCAGGGGGTGGAGGCAGGATTACCGCCAGTAATCATTCGACTAGAACCCACCCACCGTTGGGACAATGGCTAAATGTTGACAATGGCAGTGGTCTGATGCATTATGCGATAGCCAAGCAGCACTAATTCGATGACAGGAGCCGATTTCTGCCAAAAAGTGCTAAAGGTTGCACTGGCACAGCCCCATACCTTAGCCGTCCCCCCCCCTCCCCGCTCGGGGAAGACCGCTTTGATTGGTTCCGACTCCAAGGTCCCGCTGTGTCAAGGTCATTCACCTCCGCAGTCAGCGGTTCCTGCAGCCACTCGATCGACTTCAACTTGGGCGCACGGGTGTCCACACAGAGTCGCAGCTGCCCATGCGCTACTTGAACACACCGCCCTCCCTGCGAACAGCAACATAAGCTACTTGAACACCATCCCTCGGCTAGTGCAACACACACCAACTGCACATCACTTGAGCTTGGCCCACAGACATAGGAGAGCGGCTGCCATCACCGTCTCATGAGGCTCTTAGGCATGGTGAACGCGGTCGACACCGGCCCTAGCTTCGCCGGCAGCCACTGCCGTCTGAGAAGACAACTTACGGCTCTCTGCTGGCCTCCGTCTTTTCCTAGAACTCGGGATTCGGACTGATGATTGTAGTGCTTCAAGTACACTCACTGCTTAGATGCTACGAGACTGGGACCTAAAGCAACTTTTGACTGATCAAAATTTGCTAGAATTACGTACCGCAGTTATTCATGAGCAGATCTCCTCTGACCTCACCCTTATGTATGCCTTTCTAACATAAGATCACAAATCGGCATAAATTACAGGTCAGAAAGCAAGGCACCATATAAACATAATAATTGAGGTCATGGCCCCTAAAGTTATTCTGGATTGTAAAGAATTGGACTAACTGGGTATCCAAGGGAAGCTAACATTGGACACTCTCGTAAGAGTAGTTGCTAACCGAGTTACTATTAAATGGATTGTTCGGAAGATCGAAAGCTGGCCTTAAGAGTAATATCTAAATTGGTGGCAAGGGAAGTTTTAGAAATTACACGCAATGAACTCAAACAGACGTAAGTGGGAAGGTTGATAATGAAATAGTTCGACGGCATCGCTCCATAAGCACATTTCCGGCTCTTTCTTGCCGAAGACCCCACAGCCAACTCCTTCACTTTTCCCTTATCAATAAACTCTGCCAACTACTGCCCAGAGATTTCAAGGGACTCTCACAGGTAGTAGTAAGCCCTTGTTTAGTAAAGGGTGGTAAACCAACAACAAAGATTTAAGTCTTTACAAATTGCCGGTCCTTTTGTGGATCATTCAGTTTGGAGAATAAACTGAAAGAGATCGTTGCTGACAGTCATGATGATCATGTCTGGCGTCCCCACTCGAGAACCCGTTATCTCGAGCCCATTCACGTTCGCAGCGAGTGGTTTCCGACGTGCCGGCCTGCTACTCAACCGACTTCAACTTGGGCGTATCGGTGTCCGCAGAGTCGTAGCTGCCCATGCGCCACTTGAACACACCACCTCCCGCCTACGAATGCAACACAAGCCACTTGAAAGCCACCCCTCGACGAATCAACACACACCAATTGGACACCATTTTAGATTGTCCCGCAAACCTGTAAAAGCGTCTGCCACCACCGTCGCACGGACTCTCAGGTATGACTGAGAGGACAACTCTGGGTTCTGTGTTCAGTAAACTCATTACTCTGGTGACTTTTGTTTTTTCCTCCAACATGGAATTCGGCCAGATTATTGTGGGGCAGCCGTAGGTTCTAGGACCCCAAGATAGATCGCTAGCCGGTGGTCCGTGTCTTACGGGAGTGCTGACAATGGGTGTTTTACGGGTGGGACAGCATGCACGTGGGATGGAAGGTGGAATTCAAGGAAGCGCGGAAATTTGGCCGCAAAACTTAACATGCGCTGTCGTATAGCGACGGAACGTTAGCGCGATAAACAAGGTGATTTTTGCAAAAAAATAATGGAGTCTGAATGAGCCGCCGATGGTAAGTCTTCGTCCGGTCAGGCAGCCGAGGCGATTCCAGCCAATCGGAATGACGAAAAACAAGTGACGTTTCCACTCTCATTATTTCTTAATTAACGCGTTTGAGCTGTGAGTGAGTGATAGCGAACCCAAATCAGCCAATCTCAGAATGCGCCATAGAGCGGGTGTAATGTAAGTATTAACACATACCGAATCCTGGTGAGAAGAGTAGGATGTTTAAAAGGTAAATGTACGAAAGCATAAGCTGTGTGGGTGGTAACTGGCAACGTACAGTAGGTGGGCTAACTCATGAAATCTCAACAGAAATTCCGAAATGCGTTTTCGTTTCGGAGAGATTAATTAAGTAGGGTTGTAAAACCAATCATCCCACAACATAATTTTATAATAATTCAGCTGCCCCCGGACGCCGGCTTTTGAACAAACTTCTTTCCGGCTGCATCTAAAAACCGTACTCTGTAAAAAATGACTACTTCAGTAGCATGCTCAAATCCACTGCTTAATTTCATGAACCCTGTATGGTCTCCACTCAATACCGTAAAGAAATGTGAGGTTTTCCATACGCGGAAATTATACGGCTTGTAATTTGGGGACCCTGAATGCAAGTGTAACGGCAAGTCGGGTTCAAAATTATTCGGGAATGGGAAAAATTTTACAAAACCAAATTATACCCTTCCTTTGAGTGTAAAATTGAAGGAAGAGGTAATTTCCTACTGAATGAGCAAAAGAATCAATAGTTGTATTCATCTTTTCCATGAAATATAATTGAATTTTTAAGGACATCGAAAACCAAAGAAAAAAATGCATGCTACTGAAGTAGTCATTTTTGACAGAGTATGGTTTTTCGATGCAGCCGAAAGGAAGTTCTGTAGTAACTAAATTATTACAGAATCAAGTTTTACGATGATTGGTTTTACAACCCCACTTAATTGATCTTTTCGGAACAAAAACGCATTTCGGAATTTCTGGTGAGATTTCATGAGTTAGCCCACCTACTGTATATATGTAGATATTGGAAAGTTTGGAGTGAATAAGCGAAGATGGCATTGTAAGTAAGAAATATCTATTGAATAAGAGTACCCTTGAGTAATTATTTCTGTATAGAATTGCAAACCATTGACCGCAGCAAATAGGGGAACTATACCTCACCCAGGTCGACTTATGAAAAATGAAAAAGTGATGAAAGTTACTAATTTTGGAGAAGATTGTTGAGTACTGTCCGGCTAGGGGACTACTGCCACCGGTGCGAACACGCCAATACAGACGCTAAATGTGGCTGCAAGTCAGTAAGCACAGCATGGACGGCCTTTTGTGTTCCGGTATGCATAATGCAAAATGCGGAAAACACTCAGATGCGACTCGATGTTGGAGAGGAGCCGATTAGAAATCGGAACAATCATAATTATTTGGCTGGCTGGTTCACTAAATGCAAAGAAGATGTTGCTGTGACCCGACCTAAACGCCATGGGGCTAAAGGAAGCATAAAAAATCTTCCTGTCTACACAGTGTAGCAGAAGTCGGCATGTCCGAGGTAAAGGGAGGTTAACGTAAACGGTTAGTGGCCGAACTGTGGATGAATGCCTGCATATAAAGTCGGTTCGAGCCAACTTCCTCTGAGCTAAGCCCCAGTTATATAAATGTGCAGCGCCGGGGAGTATTTGCACTCGCTTCGGAGTGGGCCGAGTTAGTACGACGCTTCTCGACTCCCTGCTAAGTGTAGTAGCCGAGAGTAGGGTCGTGTCAGCAATGACCCCGTTACACGGAGAGACCTGGGGTGGTACGATCGATTTGCGAGGTAAGATTGCAGGACGCTCAACTTCTCTGGCCTAAGTTCAAGGTAAGTAAGTGTCGAGTTCAGGGTAGTATCCGCATTCGTCTCGATACCGGTAGGGAACCAAAGTGTTGCGGTCGCTTCTCGACTCCCCGGACCATGTTGAAGGCATGTGACAGCTGAGAACAATGAAGTGTCTGCACTGACCTCGTTGTGCACGGAGTGTCATATAAAAAATAAGTAGGTCTACTGGAGCAAGTGTAGTAAAGAGTCCTGTGTACGATGGTTTGCTTGGGGTCCTACAACCTACGGTTGCGGATCGTAACACTCTGGATACACTTTCTGCATCTGCTGCACTCCCTCCACCAGGGGCGAATGGACTGGTAAGGCTAAACATCCCACTTGCGCCTGTCACACACAATATAGTCTCCACTGCGTGTACTGAACTACTCTGAGGACGGCTTGGATCTCTCATGGGTGAGAATGCCATCAAAGCAACCTTAGGAAGGGGGACCAACACAGCCTGGCCCTCAGTCGTGGGGATGATCGTTGACTACCGTGCTGATGTCCAAACCTCCCCAAGACTGTTTGTCTTGCCAGGTGCCACAGGAGATCGATTTTCACTGTATGGAAAAGGCTTAGAGTCTAACATTATGATGATGGCCCGGTGTTACGGACGATGTCCACCGTGTGCCTCACAGTGTGAGGGGGGGACTTGCGGGTGAATTAGGTTACAGAAACAGTAGAGCTGTGCTGTATCTACCGCTGCCTCGTCTCCCTCACCCACCTGAGCGCGGTGTCAAGGTACAGGAGGACCAGGGGTGAGGTCCGGCTCATTTGGCTGGCAAAACTAAACAGTCCGTCTACGCGTGCCACGCGCGTGCCTAGTCCGCGCAAAAGTGATCAGGGTGCCACAGAAACACACAAAGGCTGGCTTGGACCCCGTCTGAGTGCAAGTGGCGTAGAGACCATACTAGGAAGGCGTCACCACA